AGAGGGATAGCTTCCTCTGGCCTTAATTCCAAAAGGTTCTCAGATTCCTTTCTTCTGAAACTAAGGGAAGTTATTTGCATATTCCTCTAGACTAGGGGTGTCAAACTCAATCAGAGAAGGGGCCAAAATCTAAAATCTAGCCTAAATCGCGGGCCAAATGGTTTACTGAACAGTCATAAACTGTCATTGTGATGAAAACGCAGCGGAGTGCAGTGATGACAGCGCGGTGCGGGCCACATTGCAAGGCCTGGCGGGACGGATTTGGCCCGCGGGCCTTGTGTTTGACACATGTGCTCTAGACAGTGGTAGAGAGACCAGGGGTGGACCAGTCTTTTCTGTCAAGAATCTGACAGCAATGTCTTTGGCTTTGCTGGCCATACAATGGGTGGAGACTACTCAACTCTATTTATGGCTGTGGCAGGAAAACTGCCACAGACAACATGTAAACCAATGGGCGTGGCTTTGCTCAGATAATAATTTATTTATGGGCGCTATCACTTGAATTTCATGTATTTTTCATATGTCATGAAATATTATTCTTTTGCTTTTTTTTCCCCCTCACCCTAGCCAGTTTGGCTTAGTGGATAGAGCATCACCCTAGCCAGTTTGGCTTAGTGGATAGAGCATCAGCCCGCTGACTGAAGGGTCAGGGTTTCATCCCAGTCAAGGGCATGCACCTCAGTTGTGGGCTCAATCCCCACTCCTGGTGGGAAAGGTTGGGAGCGGGGTGTGTCGGAGGTAACCAATCCATGTGCCTCTCTCACATTGATGTTTCTTTCTCTCTGTCTCCCCACCTTCCCTTCCACTCTCTCTAAAAATTAAAAGAAAATTCTCAGGTGAGGATTTATTTTTTTAAAGTAATGTGAGCCACACAAAACAGGAAGAGGGCTGAAGGGTTGGATTTGGCCACCGGGACATAGTTTGCCAAGACCATTGCTATTCTGCACAGGGTCCCTGGACCAGCAGCATCAGTGTCACCTGGGAACTTATTAGAGATACAGGTCCTCAGGCCCCTGTTTCATCAGAATCTGCATGTAAACAAGATCCCCTGGTAGTTCACACGCAAGTCTGAGAAGTCCTGGTGCAGAGACAGAATCCGGAAGTCACGCGGGATGGGAATACTACTGACCAGCCGGTGTAGAACCTGAGGCAGCTGTTGAACCTCTGGGGACTCAGAGTCCTTATCTATGCAAAGAGATATGTTCTTACATCCATCTCCACAGGCTGTAGTGAGTGAAAGACAGGAAGGAGGCAAAACCCTTGCCTGGCTCTGTCCATGTTCTACCAGCGGAGGGTCCAGAAGCCTCTATTTAAAACCACATGTGCAGAGAAGGAAATGCCCACTCAGGATCTGCAAGCGCCAATCGCTTCTGGGACCTGACAGGTCACCTACGTTTTGAAAAAGTGCTTGAGTGGAATCAGGATGCCGGGGACCCGGTGAGCTAGGGGGCACTCTCGCCTGCCAGTTACTGCCTGTCAGGTGCTACCACACCTTTGCATTTTCCAATAGAGGCTGGAACCTGGATTTTAAGGTTAGAAAAACGCCACTTGGTTTAACACACTGTGCAGACCTGACAAAACCCATCTGCAGGCTGGCTGTGGGCCCAGGGCCTTGGTTGGTAACCTTTGCCTTAGAGTAGAGAAGTAACAAGAGGAGGTGAATCGAAGGAAATTGAGTCTGTGTTTTAAAGCCAAACTCCAGCAGCCCCCAGACTCAGTTTCCTCATCAAGAAAATAATCGCATCTTCCTCATCGGGTTTGGTGAGGACCAAAAAGAAATGTTAAGTAAAGCGTGGAGGCAGGCACCACTCTGGACAGCTAGTACTCGTCCTTATTGCTGCTGATGTTGTTTTTCTTTTTCTTTTTTTTAATTCATCAGTGCCTAGGCATCCAAAGGGTACATGTAAAAATGGCTTATTTCTCTCCTCGCTCAATCTGGTAACAAACAAGCAAGCCCAATTAGCCCCGCTCAGAACGCGGTCTCACACCGGAGCACACTGAGTGCTTAGTGAGTAATGATCCTGCTCTGGCCGCAGTCCACACAGATGCCTTAATCTTCTCTTAATGAGAACGCCCTCTGCGCCCGGCCACTGCGGGGTTTGCCCGAGGCTGCCTGGCGGTGCTTCCTCTCAGGGCTGGGCCCCCGTGGGGAGCAGAGCCCACCTTGCTGCCAGATCAGGTGGAGGGCAGCTGACAATCGTGAACCCTCTGCTCTCCAAGACTCAGAAATCCTTGTGGGGTTTAAAAAATCCTTAAAGAAATCCCACATTTGCCATCGAAAGGCGTGGGTGACAATAAAACGGGTGCACAGAAAACCCCCATGAATGAGAACAAGCTTCCACGGGATCTCAGCACCTGTCCCCGCAGAGGGCGCCCCAGGGTGTGGAGAGCACCCAGCACGCACAGGGCCCGGGCTCTAAGTCAGGCTCCTCTGTCTTAGGGGGCACACGAATCGAGGGGCCTTGTCAAAGCCGGGGAGGAAGCCTAGGACCAGCCTGAGGCTCCCCATTTCTAACCGGCTTCCAGCGGATGGCAGCAGGGATGGTTCCTGCCGGGCGGGGTATGAGTCAGCCGGACCCTCCTCCCTGGATCTCTGCTCCAATGTCACCTCCCCCGAGTCCTTTGCTGACCACCTAATCTAAACGTGATTAGCGAGGAGGGCAAGAATCCCGTCGGTTTGGTTCCTTGCCTGTCCCAACACCAGCGAGCGCCTGGCACGAAGCAGGCACTCACATATGTGTTCAGGGGAGAGATCCCAGTGGGAGCGCCGAGGAAAAGGACAGGCAGGGAGCCCGAGTCACTTGCCCAAAGTCACGGGGCTTGAAAAAGCCAGAGCAAGACACCAGCCCAGCTCTGTCTGGACCTCGAGGTCCTCGTGCCACACCAGAGGGTGAGGCAGAGTTTGTTTACAACACACTTCCTCCCTAGAACCCATCCAGCTCTGCTTTGAGGAGGTGCCTGCGGTGTAGACAGTGGACTTCGGGGGACCAGTGTGGACGCAGAGAGGCTCCCGAGAGGCCGAGTGTAATACTTAGGGTGCCCTGCCCTTTGGGTCAGGCAGGCTCACCTCCGTGGGTCAGCCGCAGACCAGCCTTTCCCTCCCATCCGGGCTCAAGTGCCTCTCCGGGCACACTGGATGTCAAACGGCCGAAAAGAGCATTGTGCTGTAGCCCTCTGCTCCAAAGGTCACCCAGAGCATGCCATGGGGGGGGGCAAGGTGCAGAGCAAGGAGCCACTTCCGGTCCAGCAAAGGGTGGGAACACCATAAACACCCCATTCATGGGGCCAACGGGAGGCCTCTCTGCTGCCGACGAGGACACGGCTCCGTGTGCGACCCCATCTCAGCCCATGAGAGGGTCTCTCTGCCACAGAGAGGCCCGCCATGGGCGGCGAGTGCACACGCCTCCCTCCATCAGGTCGGCGGGTGGAAGGGCTCCAGGCTCTCGGAGGCCCTGGTCCTGAGTCTCAGCGGCCAGCAGCCTGGCCCCAGCTAAGTCCCCTCCCGAGTAGCACTTGACGGGAAGCTGACAGTAATGAGCAAAAGGCACCTGTTCACTGTGCCGGGCCCGGGGCAGACATCACACCGGGAGGTGAGGTTCTGTTCCCGCTGACCAGTCAGGTAACTGAGAAGTAGAGATTGATAGAAGTCAGAGGTCATACTGACCAAAGGCAGGAAGCCAAGGACACCCCACAGGCTCCAGTTCTTGAACCCAAGGTTGCAGAATCGGGGGAGAGCTGAAGATCACTGTTCTGTTCATCACCGTCCTCCCTCCCCACCCCCCGATTCCAGCACAAGATGGATGGAAGTGGACCCAATTGGAAGTCCTGGCCCCTGGATCTCGTTCACAAAACAACACGCCTACACCTATTCCCACATATCACCCACCTTCCCTGTGGGGACACACAGGGGTAGCCCGGAACACACCTATTTGGGCCTCCCCATTGGCGGGGCTGATGGATGCCTAACGCCCATTACATATTTATAAGGTCCTAGCCCTGCCTCTGACACAGTTATTAAACGCTCAGGAGCCACGGGGCTGCGCTCCGTGCCCTGAAACAAAGGCAGAGAGGCCGCCAGAGCCCAGGGAGACAGGAACAAAAGCACTCATTTCTGAAGGAGCCAGGTGGGGGTGAGTCTCCCCAGGACTGGGTGCCCCAGGCACACTGCCCACTGGGAGAGGGTGGGGGAGGCAGACAAAAGGAGATAGCCATCAACGCGGGCTTTCCCCCTGGTGTCCAGAGGCAGCCCTCCGTCTCTACGGGCAGAGGAGCGGCGGGGAAGACGCAATAAGGCTCTGAGGCTGAGGACGTTCTCCGGTCCCACTGGTCTTTCCTTTTCACAGAGCTGCCCAAAGGGATCCACCTCTTCTCTCCCCGTGGCCACACTGAGAGCCCGGGCAGGCCTGCACCCCAACTTTTCCCAACCAGAGCCCCAGCAGCCAGATGCATTGGGAGTGCACCGCAATCCCCTGTCTCTCCCAAACATAATCATTCCAATGCAGGCCGGGCTGCCTGGAAGTCAACATGCAGGCGCCGTAATAAGAAACATCTGGCCCCCGAAGAGGGTTGACACAGCGCAGGCGGGCAGCGGCGGATTTGCGGTTGGGACCCAGAGTTGCAGGGGCCGAATTAAAAACACAACTGGAAACACCAGCCGGTGGCTCTTGTGGAAACGATGCCACGCCAACGAGTGGGACTGTGTGGGGCTGAGTGACTTGGGGACCCAGCGTGGTTTCGGGGACCCAGCGCTCCCCCAGGGGAACGCTCCCCAGGGTGTCTGGCCACCACTTCCACCTTCAATATTTGTAGCAGATGGAGGCGCAGCTCTTAAAGGAATAGACTTCGCATTCTTTCCATGCGGCTTACAAGTGTGTCATGTACAAAAGGAGAAAAACATAGACGTGTGTGCATGTATTTTTTTCCACATGTGCACCCACCTCCGTCCCCCCTGCAGCCCCCCAAGTGCTATTCCGTTAGAAATGAGATGGAAGGGGTCCTACCTCCATTTGTGCAAGGCAAACCCGGGGCACTGGTCACCGCAGGCGCTGCAGGGCTGGCCTCTCTCTATCCGCCCCAGTCCGGTCAACTTCAAAACAAAAAGACACACATGTTCCCACCACCAGGCTCCCCAGGGCAGGAGCCCCCCTCTCCCCACGCCCTCCTCCAGTGGTCCCCTCAGAGGTGGGGGACTCCCGAGGGTGCCCTCCTGGGGAATAGTGCTCCCACCCTGCGGCCGCCTCTGGGGAAGGGCACTCCGCCACCCAGAAGTGGCCACGGCTGGGCTTTGTCTCCGTGAGACACCTTGGTCACCGGTTTCTAGGAAACAAAAGCAAGACCTTTCCCCGAGTCCCCGGGAAGCAGCCACGGTGCACCCGCGCCCTGGGACAGGCTGGCGCTCCCGGGAAGGGGGCAGCACGGGACACCCCAAAAGACAGCCCCAAAGTCAAGTCCACGGCGGGCCGAGCGCCCCGACACGGGGCACTGACGCTCTCTCGGGTGGAATTACGATCTGCCCTAAAGGAAGAGGGCTTTTGGGGGAGCCCTAAACTGTACCCTTGGGGGCCACAGATCTAAGGGTCCCTCCCGCCCAGGACTGGGGACCGGGACTTAACCCCTTCGGCGCCCAGAGCCCGCGCCCCGCACACACCCGCCCCGGGGCGCTTACCTGGGGCCACAGGTGCGAGGCCGAGGGGCGCGGGGACACCGGGCCCAGGGCCCCCCGCACGCCCGCCCCGCCCGGGCGGGGGACACTCACCGAGCGGCCGGACAGCCTTTTCTGGGAGCTCCGGCTGAACATGGCAGGGCAGCGGCCGCCCGCGGCGGGTCCCCGGGGCTGTCCCACGCGGCTGGGGGGTGGGGGGGGGCGGCTGCCCGCGGGGCCCGCGCGGCCACGGGCCTGGCTGTGTCCGCCTGCAGCCCCGCCGGCTGGAGCGCAGCCTCCTCTCTCCCTCCTTCTCTCTCCCCGCGCCTCCCGCTCTCTCTCCGCCCGCAGGTCCCTCCCTCTCCCGGCGTCCCCGCCCTCCGCTGCGCCCCGCGTCCCCCGGCCCTGCCCTCCCTCCCGTGCCCAACCGCCCACCCACCCTCCCGTGCCCTGGGCGCCCAGGGTCTCCCTCTCCCCGCGCCCGGCGGCACCTGGGGCCAGCGCCCCCGCACCTGGGCCTGCCCTGCCCCAAAGGCTGGACCCGCACCAGGGCTCAGGAGTAAGGGGACAGGACCGCTTCCAAGCCCTGTGAGGTGGCAGCTGGGGAGGAGAGTTGAGGGTTAAGTATTTTGTAAGTTTAGGTATAATTCACATCCAGGAAAATGTACCCTTTTTAGTGGACAATTCTGCCAATGTTGCTAAGTTCCATACAGACCTGTAACCACCATCCCCACAGTCAAGATCCAGAGCCCCAGCAGGCCTGCACCCCAACTTTTCCCAATCAAAGCCCCAGCAGCCAGGTGCATTGGGAGTTATTGGGTAAGTCCCATCACCCCCCAAAGATGATTTGCACAGTTTGCGCCAGGCCTGTGATCTACTTGGTACCCACCCAGCGCCGCAGCTGAGGCGGGGCAGCGGGATGAAAGAAGCCTCTAGGTCTAGGTGTACAGTGTGTGGAATACAGTAGGTGCTCACTAAGCACCTTTGGAGTGATTGAACATAAGCTTTGAAGCCCCAGTGTCTACCTGCCCGTTCTTTTTCCGCCACTCACCAGCCAGTGATCTTTCCAATTCCACTGACCTCTTTGTGCCTCTGTGTCCTTATCAATAAAGACGGCTGGAGCAGGTCCTTACTCACAGCATTGTTGAGGAAGATGAGTTGGGACAGGTATGGTTGTTCTACATGTTATAGCAGGCACCAAGGCAGGGCTCATTAAAGATTAGCTGTCAGAAAAAGAAAGGTTGCAGGTCTGAGAGGCACAGGCCATGGTTCTACTTACCATTGATGTTTTAGCTCAAATGTCACCTCCCCGGAGAGAACGTTCCCGACCCTTTACTGCAGCAGCTCAGACACACACACTCTCATACCTCGCGAAGCACGCCTAGAAATTACCTTTTTACTTACTAATGTGCCCTCACCCAAATTTGTCTTGCTCACCTCAGTAGCTCTAGACCTATAATGGTACAGCACACAGTTGGTACTCCATAAATGTTTGTCAAAGGAAGTCATTGTAGAAAAAAAAATCACTCTCCCAGCTTAGCATTTTCCCCGAGGAGGGGTTGAATTCCAGTGAAGAAAAGCTGCTTGCTCGGGTAACACAGCACATCAGCAGGAAGGCCAATCTAGTTATACCCTAAATTCCAAAGGACAGGTGCTGCGGATCACACACCTGTGCTCAGTGTTGACTACAGTGGTGTCAATGCCCACAAAGTAAGCACTGGCTTGAGTTCCAGGCCAGAACCAGGGGAAGCCAGTGAGGTCTTCCCCTTGGCAGCAAAATACATGGGGTGCCAACAGCTCCAGTAATCAAGAGAAAGAGCATTTTAATGAAATATTTTAAAGAATCAAAATTAATGCAAAATAGTCCGTGATGAACAGAATATCAATATTTAAGTAAAGACAGAAGCCTACCTTACATTTGCACTTCTCTTCCTCACTTGCCTCACCCTAATCCTAATCCTGATAAAAATGCTCCCAAACTCAGTGAAATAAAGGGTAGACTTCCCAATTTTGCACATCTCTGTTTACCCACCATCTGCCATCACCAGTAGATGATACACTTGCTCATCCCTTGATTTGCTGGGGCCTCGCACAGGGTCTGGCTTATTTCAAATGCTCAGCAAACATTTGTTCAATGACTAAATAGAAGGCAGTAGCTCCCGAGGGGGTGGGGGGCAAGGGGTGTTAGCAATGAGACCCCAGGGTTATCATCGGTGCTAGTGCAGGAAACTCACCGGGCCTTCTGGGCAGAGCTACCGAATCCAGCTCTGCGCTGCATGCATCCAGTAATGGGCAGAAGGAGGTCGGGAGGCCAGTGTTCTCACCATGGATAGTGCCTATTTGTAGTTTTGTTATGAAAAGTTTTAGCAAAGGTCAGTAAGAAAACCAGCGCATTACAAGTTTCTAAGAGATGGAAGGGCTGTACCTTGGGGAAGCAGCATCTCCTTCAGTCCCAGCTACGGGCAGCGGTCCTGTCCGGTGTCTCCCTGGACACCTTGGCTGGCGAAGGCTGCAACCGGAGGTTGGCCCTGGGAACCTGATTTGTGCGATCTGGACCTTTAACCTTTGTCCTTTGTCAAAGGGGTGACGTCAAGAAGATGTGACTGGTCTCCATAGGCACAAGGCCCAATTCCCACAAGCCCCTGCCTTAAATGTTAAACACACTTCACACAATTATAACTATAACAGCACTTCTTCCTGGGCCAGTCCCTTGGGTCTGTCTCCTCAGGGCAGGAGTCAGTTTTTAATGGGCTGGTTTTCACCGGAGGCTCCTTTTCTCCCTCCCTCCCTGCCTCCCTCCCTTCCATGCTCTCTGAAAAAGCAATGGAAACAGTATCCACAGGTTGAGGATTAACAAACAAACAAAAAATTTAAAAAACACCAACTTCACTTTTGTCTCAATCAATTAGTCTTTGGTGAAATTGCTTTATCTATATATTGTTTTGCTCAAAGTCACAGAATCTTGGATGACTTTATCTCCGCACAGCCTCTCCCTGGTGATTATTTCTTTCTCTTACCTCCAGGAACAACTCTGAGGACTGCAAAAGGAGCGAGTCTCCCTCAGAGCAGCCCATGCTTACTAGCGCCATCAGAGCATCCTCCTCATCAGAAGCCCACAAGAGTTTTGAAAAAGTGTGTGTAAAGCGGGGTAGTGAAGGAGGTGATGGGATGACTGGAGGGATGATTCTCTCTCAATGGTGAGATTATGGAGGACTTCTCTCTTCCCAATGCACACTCCTCTGTTGCCCACAGACATTTTAGTGTGAGCATGAAACACCATACATAATTGGGGGGAAATTAAATGAGGAGAGAACTGCAATACCCAGCGTTGGTGGGCTAAATATTTCACAGGGCATTATACTGTCTCACATGTATAAACATATTCACATATATTTAAAGCAAAAATATTTGAAACGATCCAAAGTACTACGCTAAAGAGCGTATATCTTTCTCTTCGAAAAAAACAAAACAAAACCAACCTTAGAATTCTGCAGAGCCATTGGCCCCACTTATCCTAAAAATTAAATAACAAAAAGCACAAATACGTGGTTAAAGGATAGTTATGACAGCATTGTTTCTAAGAGGAAAAAGATAAATTACAAATGATCCATAGTTACTTGACATTAAATAATCTCATAGAATATGGAATAATTTGTATGAATACTGTTCCATTTGGGTAGCAGATTACAAAATAGCAATATGAGTTCATATTTGGGTAAGATTTGGGGTATTTGTTATGCTTTCAAAAGTACACATATTTTTGAATATTGAAAAGTCCAGATTATAATGAAAATATTGCAGATTGTGTTCAGTTGATTTGGGGTTTGAATTTCAAGTGGTTTAATAGTTCCCCTTTTGCTCATCTAATATTTATTTTTATAATGGATAAAGGTAAAATGTAAAGTATATAAATAATCATTTGACTTTTTAATATTCTAAAAGAGTTTCGAGGTTCTTAAGTGATAGAATATGTAGGTGAATTTTTCTCTTTTTATCTATGCAGAATTTCTACAATTAATTAAGAAACTTTAAAAATTTTAAATATAAGTGGGATTTAAATACCGGTATGCATAAATAATTGTCTTATAGGACAAGTACTATTGTTCTTTTGGAAGGAGAAATTTACAGTTTTATTTCTTTACAATTTTCTAAGTGTTTCTCCCTAGGATATGTTCTTTGTAATAACAGGAAATAAATGTTTGTTTTCCCTTCTTCTGTCACTCCCATCAACCACGCATTTGAAGGCTTTATAATCCTGTGCTCCTCATTGTCCCAGGCTCCCCATAAAAGCACAGATGCAAAGGTGACTTTTTAATAATCGCTCACACTCATGTCGCAGTAGGTAACTTATTGGAACCCTGAGGGTCACCAGAAGGTCAGGAGGAAACAGAGCTCCCTGAGGTAGTGGGATTTGCCTGACATCCTAGGCTGTTAGAGATGGTTCCAGAAGGAATGAAGCCAGCTTCGAAGGCCCAGGTCTCATGGTCCCTTCCTGCCTTTGGGGAGAGCTTTCTATTCAAGTGCACACTCTCTTTCTGTCTCTCACACAGACACACACAGCAGTGCTCAGGGTGCCTCATGGGCCTTGGGGTGGCAGCTAAGTGCATTCGAGTGGGCGGGCACCTTTTAAAGCACCCACAGGTGAACTGACTTGCAGGGCTGGCTTAGGTCTGAGTGGACAGTGAGCATCCTTCCTCCTTAACTACCTCGTTTCCACATATTCCCCATCTTCCACCCTCACCTGACCCTGCTCACCGCTCCAGTCTTCCCTTTCCCCTTAGCTCTCAAGTCTCTGTTGTATCGTATTTTTTAAATCCTCACCTGAGAATATGTTTTTATTGATTTTTTAGAGATAGAGGGAAACATCTATTGGTTGCCTATCATATGCACCTTTGCAGGGGGATCGAACCCACAACCTCTGGTATATGGGATGACACTCCACCAAATGAGCCACCCAGCCATGGCTGCTGTATCATTTTGTGACCTAGCGAGGGTTCCCTGCTTACACACGTGGAAGCCAATGGTATGGCACCAGCTTCTGAGTAAAGAAAGGGCTCTTATTGCCAAGTCAACCTCCAGGAGACAGGAGGCACCACTCAAATCTGTCTCCCGATCCAGGTGCAGGGCAGGATTTTAGGGGTTTCAGCACCAGATCTTCCTAGACAATGGGTTCTTTACTTCTGGAAGGGTTTTGGCGTTCAGCTTCTTTCTAGACATGTCTTGGTCCTATAATTCCATGGAGGGGAGCAGGTAAGGGCTACAAGTGTTACTTGTGA